GCTATCAACGAAAGTAATGAGGAAGCTCTCTGTATGTTGCTATGGAAAGAACAGCAAGACATATTAACTAAAAAAAACAAAAACAAAACAAGGTATATAATGGCATGGCTCATAGGCCCTGTTTTTGTTTTGGAGGTTATTTTTGAAAAAAGGGGAAAGTTCTAATCATATTTGCAAATGGTCATGTATGCATAAAAAAATTCTGTTACAAATAAGAAACCAGGCCGGGCACAGTGGCTCACACCTGTAATCCCAGCACTTTGGGAGGCTGAAGCTGGCGGATCACGAGGTCAGGAGATCGAGACCATCCTGGCTAACACAGCGAAACCCGTCTCTACTAAAAATACAAAAAAAAAAAAAAAATTAGCCAGGTGTGGTGGCGGGTGCTGTGGTCCCAGCTATTCGAGAGGCTGAGGCAGGAGAATGGCGCAAACCTGGGAGGCAGAGCTTGCAGTGAGCAGAGATGGTGCCTCTGCACTCCAGCCTGGGCAACTCTGTCTCAAAAAAAATAAATTTAAAGGCCGGGCGCGGTGGCTCAAGCCTATAATCCCAGCACTTTGGGAGGCCGAGACGGGCGGATCACAAGGTCAGCAGATCGAGACCATCCTGGTTAACACGGTGAAACCCCGTCTCTACTAAAAAATACAAAAAACTAGCCGGGCGAGGTGGCAGGCGCCTGTAGTCCCAGCTACTCGGAGGCTGAGGCGGGAGAATGGCATGAACCCGGGAGGTGGAGCTTGCAGTGAGCCGAGATCGCGCCACTGCACTCCAGCCTGGGCGACAGAGCGAGACTCCGTCTCAAAAAAAATAAATTTAAAAAAAAATAAATAAGAAACCAAAAACATTATTTTAAATAAAATATTTAAGAAAAAAAATAATAAAAGAAATGCGAGACATACATGAAAACTAAAAAACATTGCTGAAGGAAAGTAAAGATTTAAATAAATGGAAAGCCATCCCATGCTCATGGATTGAAAGAAAACAAAGCATAGTTGGAAGACTCATGGTTCCCTACTTCAAAACTTATTGCAATACAATGCTAATTAAGATAGGGTGGGCCGGGCGCGGTGGCTCAAGCCTGTAATCCCAGCACTTTGGGAGGCCAAGGCTGGTGGATCACGAGGTCAGGAGATCGAGACCATCCTGGCTAACATGGTGAAATCCCGTCTCTACCAAAAATACAAAAAACTAGCCGGGCGTGGTGGCGGGCGCCTGTAGTCCCAGCTACTCGGAGGCTGAGGCGGGAGAATGGCATGAACCCGGGAGGTGGAGCTTGCAGTGAGCCGAGATCGCGCCACTGCACTCCAGCCTGGGCCACACAGCAAGACTCCGTCTCAAAAAAAAAAAAAGATAGGGTGGTACTGGCATCAAGACAGGTATAAATCAATAGAATGAAATTGAGAGTTCAAAAATAAAGCCTAACAGTTATGATCAATGGATTTTCAACAAGGATACCCAGACAATTCAATGGGAGAAAGAATAGTGTTTTCAAAAATATTGCTGGGTCAACTGGGTATTCACGTACAAAAGAATGAATTTGGACTGTTATCTCACACCACACACAAACATTAAATCCAAGTAGATCATAGACTTACATGTAAGAGCTAAAACCACAGAACTCATAGAAGAAAACATAGAATTAAATCTTCATGATTTGGGGCTAGGCAATGACACCAAATTTGCATGTGATAGAAGAGAAGATTGATCAAAATTGAACTTAATCAAAATGAAAACTTTTGTGCTCCAAAGAAAATCATGAAGAAAGTAAAAAGACAATCCACAAACTTGGAGAAAATAGTTACAAATCTTATACCTGATAAGGAGCTTATATCCAAAATATATAAAGAATGCTTATAACAGAATAATGAAAAGACAAATAACCCAATTTTTATATGGACTATTTCCATAGACATTTTCCCCCAAAAAACATATAAATGGCCAAAAAGCACATGCAAAAGATGCTCAACATCATTTGTCACTAGGGAAATGCAAATCCAAACCACAGTGAGATACCACCTCACACCCCCTGGGATGGCTAGAATGAGAAAGACGGTCAATGACAAGTGTCAGTGAAGACGTGGAGAAATCAGAACCCTCGTGCCTGAAGTGAATTATAAAATAGTGCAGCCACTTTGGAAAGCATTTGGCAGTTCCTTTAAATGTTAAACATAGAATGTATCATATGACCCAGCAATTCCACTTGTAGGTATCTGTCTACTTAAGAGAAAAGAAGACATGTTCACTTAAAACTTAAACTCAAAAGTTCATAGAAGTATTGTTAATAATCACAGTGACAAAAAGTAGAAACATCCCAAATGTCCATCCACTGATGACTGGATAAGCCACATGATATATCCATAAAATGGAATGTGATTTAGCCACAAAACTGAAGGAAGTACTGATACCTGCTACAACTTGGATGGCCCTTGAAAACATTATGCCAAGTGGAAACAGCTAGTCACAATACACCACATATGATTCCATTTATGGAAAATGTCCAAAATAGGCAAATCTATAGAGACAGAGAGTAGATTAGCCTGGGGCTAGGGAGGAATGAAGACTGACAAAGTTCCTTTTTGGGGTCATCGAAATGTTCTAAAATTAGCTTACGGGGATGGTTGCACAACTCTGTAAATATACTAAAAACACAGACTTGTACACTTTACACAGGTGAATTTCACGGCATGTAAGTTATATGTAAATAAAGCTACTTATTCTAGGGGAGGTGGGAACTTGGCAGATGGAGGACAAGGAGAAATAAAGACTTTCTATTATATATCTTTCAATACTTTCTGCGTTTCAAACCATCTGACTATACTATCTATTCAAAAGCAAATCTAAAATCAAAGGATCAAACAAAATTAAAGACAGACCCCTGATTCTCCCCATATTTGGGTGGAGGAGCGAAGAGGGAGAAAGCTGCCACCCACCGCATATCACCGTGAAGGGTTGGTTGAGTGGAAGGTGGGCAGGAGGTTCTATGTGACAAGGGCAGCCTTGGAGAGGTTCCAAGACCCATTCATTGCCTGGAAGCCACCAAAGCCACTGGACCTGAAGGAGAGATGGAGCCTGACTGACCAGATGGCAGATGCCAAGCTGACCAGTGGGCCTGTCCCTGCCCCCTCCTCTACCACCATGTGGACCTACATAAAATCCCAGAACCATCATCAAGTGCCAAAGGAGGGTGGGAAAACCCCATGACTGACACCAGCCAGGCAGAATAGAAGCTTGAGAGAGAAGCTCCATTGACGGAAAGGGAAGAAAGGGAACTCCTATCTGACACTAGCTCTGTGGGCTGGGCTCACACTCTGGGCCGCCACAAATTTGGATGCAAGATGGAAACTCTCTCCTGCATCCCGAGACCAGACAGCAGCCAAGGAGGGTGATTCTCAGAGCCCTCTGCTTATCCCTCCTCACGTGCTTGGCTGGTTAACAGGTGCTATACCAAGAAAGATCTCTGTGATCAAATTAGTTTGAAAAACACTGGGTTAAAGAAAGTCAAGGCATTTCTTTTAACTGCAGGTCTTCTCAGAGCCTTTCCTTGTGACTCCCCAAGTGGGGGTCTGGTAGTTTCATCAAAGCACTGTTGTGTTTTTGAGGGATGTCTGGTAGGAAAGACAGTCTTCTTCATTTTACACTGAGGGGAAGCGGCTCAGCCAAGGTCCCAGAGTGGCTCAGGGCTGATTCGGCAGCACCAGACAGCTTCTGCCACTGCCAGGTCACAGTTCTAGCTGCGTCCTGACTCGTGGTGCCAGAGGCCTGGGCAATTGCATACTGTGTCAAGGCAGCCTCTGGTCACTGCCTTGTCCAAGTCTCTCAGAAACTTTATGTATTTGAGCCCCTGACTTGGTAGATTCCGGGGACATGGTGGCTGGACACAAAAGAGGATGGGAGAACAGATTTGCTCCCTGCCTGGGGTGTAGGACAGAGCAGCAGGGAGAGGCTGTGAATCTAGGCTGTGCCCCGGTCCATCTGGCCATGGGTTCTGTCTGCACAGTGACGGACCTGGGGCCCTTTCATAAAACCTTAGAAACTCACTCTGATAAAAATGCTGTAAGGGCCGGGCACCGTGGCTCACGCCTGTAATCCCAGCACTTTGGGAGGCTGAGGCAGGTAGATTACCTGAGGTCAGGAGTTTGAGACCAGACTGGCCAACACAGCGAAAGCCTATCTCTACTAAAAATACAAAAAATTAACCGGGCGTGGTGGTGAGCACCTATAATCTCAGTTACTTGGGAGGCTGAGGCAGGAGAATAGCTTGAACCCTGGAGGCAGAGGTTGCAGCAAGCCAAGATCAGGCCATTGACTCCAGCCTGGGTGACAGAGCGAGACTCTGTCTCAAAAAAACAAAACAAAAAAACTATAGGATAAATAGTCCAATTTTGTCAACAAATAAATAACCGAGGAAAAAAATGGGTGGAAACTGTTATAGATTAAAACATAGCCAAAAGTCTAATGTGGGCCAGGCTGATTTGAACAAATCAACTGAGAAAGACATAGATGAGATAGTCGGGGCAGTTTGAACCCTGGCGGGCTATGTGATGATGTTCAGGAATTGTTGTTTCAGCTGGGGTGATGGTATGATGCTTCGTTTTTTGTTTTGCTTTTAGAGTTTGTGTTCTTAAGGAATAGATCCTGTGGTCTCTACAAATCAAACAATCTGGTGTTTGAGATTAGCATTAAAATGGTCCAGCGGGCATGTAAAGGGGAAAATGGGGGGTGTGCGGGGGCCGTGGTGACAAAGGGAATTCCTGCTGGTGTGGCCAACCCTGCAGCCTCGGTGGCTTCTCTCCAGGAAGGCAAGCCCCATACCCCAGAGGCATCCAGATCCAGGGCTCTCCATGTGCCGGGGCTTGGGAGGCTGGGACTGCCCCAGTGTGTGGATCTGCTGTGGGCCTTACACCCACCGGACCCTGCCAACCCCACGGCACTGAGGCCCAACCCTCCTCACACCTCACACCTGCCCTCCTGCCCTCCTGCCCTCCTGCCCGGCTACTCACACCGCTCCTCCTGGTCCACACGGCTCCGGCCACCTCGCCTGCTCCGGCCCAGGCCACTCATTACTCAGGATGCTTATTATTAGTCTTAGATTTGATTAGTGCCTGGGCTGCACTTCCTGGGTTTTCCCCTCAACCTGTTGGATGTAAATCAGCCACACCCACTCCCGCCCCCATGCCTGTGCACTGGGTCTAAGGAGCCCAGGTGGGTGGCCGCAGCCCAGGCTCCTGGCGTCCCATGGGGTACACACAGAGCAGTGGAAGGCCTGCCGGGCCTTGCGATGAGGTATTGACTATGGGATGGCCCAGGCTTTTCTAGATCTGGCCCTGGCCATCCCTTGGTCCTGATCGCCTGTCCCCCGGCACACACCCCAAGCCAGGCCAGCTCTCCAGCCTCCCAGCAACGCTCAGGCTTTTCCCTGTTCCTGGTTATACTTATTCTATTCATTGCCTGGTCAGCCCCTCCTGCTCTTCCCTCAAGGCTCCATTGAGGTGTCACCTCCTCCAGGAAGCCGTCCCTGACTGTCCCAGCCTGTCAGGTGGTGCTCATTCTCTGTGTCTCGTTGACCCTGTCCAGCACCTAGCAGAGCACTGGAGAGGCTGAACCCCAGGGCCAGACAGCCTGGGTTTGAATCTTGACTCTGCTGCACACCAGTGAAAGGCCTTGGTGGCAATTTATGGAACTCCTCTGTGCCTCCATGTTCTCCATGTAAAACAAGGATGAGGTCGGGCCTGATGGCTCATGCCTGTAATCCTAGCACTTTGGGAGGCCGAGGTGAGTGGATTGTCTGAGCTCAGGAGTTCGAGACCACCCTGGGCAACATGATGAAATCCCATCTCTACTAAAAAAAAAAAAAAAAAAAAAAAAATTAGCTGGGTGTGGTAGCCTGTAGTCCCAGCTATTTGGGAGGCTGAGGCAGGAGAATGGCTTGAATCTGCGAGGCGGAGGTTGCAATGAGCCGAGATCATGCCATTGCACTCCAGCCTGGGCAACAGAGACTCCATCTCCAAAAAAAAAAAAAAAAAAAAAGGATGAGAACATTGCCCGTCTCACAAGTGGTTATGAGCACGAAGTGAGGGAGCACAGTTAGGTAGTTACGTTCTTAGAGCAGGTTCTTGGCACACAGTAAGTCCTCAATAAAGGCCATGGAGGATGAACACTACAGCCCATATTGCACTGCATGGCGACTACACTCCTGTGTCTTCCCCATCCTCTGAAACCTCCCAGGAGATGGGAGGCCCAGAAACAGCCAAAGGCAGAGTGAGAGGAACGTAAAAACCAAAGAAAGCCCATGGGCCCTTAGGAAGAAACTGAAAGACGAGGAGGACGCGGGCAGGTGGAGAGTAAAGAGGGAGGCTCCGGGAAGCAGCTGGAGCAGGGTGATGGAGCACAGAGCAGGAGAGGAGATGCAAACGGTCAGCAAACACGGAAAATGTCCAGTCTCCCAAAAATCAGAAAAACACAACTGAACAATGAAAAACGAACTTTCACCCACCAGGTTGCGAAGTTTTAATGTTTGATAACATCAAGAGCAGGGGGTGATCTACAGAACATAACCTCACGTCCCGCTGGAGGGAGGGAGCTGGCAGCAGCGTTCTGGAGGGCAACTGGCCAGGGTCAGTTAAATGCAGAACACAGACCTTACCCACTCCCCAGAAATTCTCCTCCTCAGTGAGCCCCCTAATGACAATGAGACACTGGAAACCATGTAAATGTCCACACAGCAGAGGATGCCTGAATAAGCAGGGTGCACAGGGCAGAGCCAGGAGTCAATGCCACAGTTAAAAGAATGAGACATCTCGAAGCTGTCGGGACAGACGCTGAGTAAATAAAAGTAGCTTATAGCATGAGCCTTACAGCATGATGCCTTTAGTAAAACAAAAACAAAAACAAACAACACACACACACAGACACACACACAGTACAGCACCGTGTTGTCCGTGATCACGCACACATAACCGTGAAGCATAAGAAGTCTGCAAGGACATGCATGACAACTCTGGCTCTCATCGGTTGGGGCAAGAGGGAACCAGGACTGGGAGTGACCATCAAAGGGGAATTTAGCCCTATTTGTAACTTTTACATTTAATTACTTGTGTCAATGAACAGTAACAAAACCATAGCTGGGCTCTGGCAGGTGGATTTCTAAGAGAGAGGTAAGAAAGAGATCCTATTGCCAGGAACTTTCTGCCTGTTGAAATAAGTAAGCCCGAAGTCACTACAGGATGCCCTCATTGTGTCGCCCCTCACCTCCTGTTTGCACACCCCCAGGGTCAGGGCTCTCACCACCTCATGGAGCAGCTGGCTCGCTGGGAGTTCGCTTTGATGGTTAGAAAGCTCAGTTCTAGCCTGGGCAACATAGCGACCCTGTCTTTATAATTTACTTATTTTTTTTTTTTTTTGAGACCGAGTCTCACTCTGTTGCCCAGGCTAGAGTGCAATGGCGTGATCTCAGCTCACTGCAACCTCCACCTCCTGGGTTCAAGCGATTCTCATGCCTCAGCCTCCTGAGTAGCTGGGACTAGAGGTGTGAGCCACCACTCATGGCTAATTTTTGCATTTTTAGTAGAGATGGGGCTTCACCATATTGGCCAGGCTGGTCTCGAACTCCTGACCTCAGTGATCCACCCATCTTGGCCTCCCAAAGTGCTGGAATTACAGGCGTTAGCCACTGCACCAGATCTAATTTTTTTTTAATTAGCTGGGTGTGGTGGTGTGCACCCGTAGTCCTAGCAACTTGGGAGGCTGGAGGATTGCAACCCTGGGCTGGAGCTCAGGAGTTCAAGGCCACAGTGAGCTACGATCGCACCACTGCACTCCAGCCTGAGCTACAGAATGAGACCCTGTTGCAAAAAAAGAGGAGGAGGAGGAAGAAGGAGAAGGAGAAAGAGGAGAAGGAAGGAGAAGAAGGAAAGACAGCAAGTTCAGCTTTGTCCAGTGAGCAGACTGTGCTTCCAGACTGTGCTTCCATGGGACTAACTGCTGCTGTCTGCAGCCACACACATTGTCCTGGTCAATCTACAGCACTTTGGAGTTTTAAAGCCAATACCTGTTATGCATGAAATGAAAAACAAAATCCAGCCTGATTTGGGGAGTGGCTGAGAATTGAATGGCAGGGTTCCCTAATGTCTCATTGCCAATCACAGCTTGTTAATGCTTTTGCTCAAATGCAGTTTACAGAGAACGGATTTAATTTGCTTTCTATTTTCTTTAATTAGATGGGGTAATTTACAGACAGTGAAATGCACCCTTTTAAAATGGGAAGTTCAGTAAGTGTTCGCGTACATGCACACCCAGGCAACCACAACCCAGATCACGACTTAGAGCATGCACAGTCCCCAGAAGGCCCCTCACTGCCCTCTTCCAGCCAGCACACCCGACTCCATCCCCAAAAGAGCCACGATTCTGACTCCCACCACCACAGATTCATTTTGCTTGTTCCCCGAACTTTGTATAAATGGAAACATACAAATGGAATCATTTCATGAAACACAAAAATAGATTCCCCCTCTGCACTGGCTCCCCCAGAAGACTGAACAGGTGCTGGAGGTTTCTAAACCTCATTCTGAGACCAGCCTTTTTTTGAGCTGTCTCCCAAGAGGATGCAGGATTCTAATTTTAAGCCCCACAGCCAAGGTGACAAAAGAGATTTAGAACCCAGAGTAGAGCTAACTTATATACCTTAAGGTTTTGGATCTGGTTCATTTATATATGTATAATTAACGAGTTAAAATGCACACATAGTAAAGAAAAAAATTCAAGCAGTGTAAAAGAATGTGGCAGAAGTAAATTTCTCTCCTATCTAGTTATCCTAGGCCCATCAGCAAAGCCCAGGCATTTCTGAGCACGTGTGTGTCGCTAGAGGATGTATTTCCCCTCCCTTTCCCCCTTCATACCTTTTTTTTTTCTTTTACACAACTGCTGGCTTATACAGATCAAGCTCGCTGTTTATCATGCTACCTTTTCCATTTAGTATAGCCTGCCAGACAGTTCTTAACTTTTTAAATGAACTCCTACAGTGGTCATTGGGAGTAACAATAGGGAAAACTTAGGGCACTATTCTAAACACGTAACATCTGCTCATTTAATTCACATTTTACCGTTTGTGTGTCACCTTGAAGGGCATGAGCTCCTTAAGTGAAATTGTTTGATGAAAGGGAACACTATTCTGTCGATCAGTATTTCCCAGGGAGATGGTTCCACTCTGCACTCGCATGTCCGTGGCATTTTGGCCCTAAAGACCCATGTGCAGGTGCTGTGGTCTCTTTGAGCTCCCTCATGTCTGCCACCTACTCCTGGTCCCTTGAGGCCCTGCTGTTGAACCTCCTCTGAGACAGTTCTGGGTGTAAGACAAAAGGAAGAGTCTCCAAAAGAGGACATTTCTTAGACATGCAGCGAAAGCCCTCATTTTCATTATTGCCATTTACATAGATGACTCAGATGTGCTGAATTTCCTGTTGCTAATGTAGCTGTTCCTTTGGGTTAATTTCTCAGAAATGCTAGATACCATTACTTTAGCAAAACTCACTTTGAAAAAGCAAAGAGCAGGGTTTAAAAAATGATAATAAGGGTCCCCAGTGTTCTGTGGGAAGATCTAGTTTCTCTACTTTAAAATGTTTCCTTCCTAACTTTTTATTATGAAAAATTCAAAACTTCAAGAAAGTTAAAAATATAATGAAGACTCAGGGACCTTCCACTGAGATTCAACAGCTCTTCACCTTGGTGTCTGCATGGCTCCATCCATCTCTGTCTCTTCCTTCCTGCCTTCCTGCTGAGACCCCGAAGGCAATTTGCAGACATCCCGACACTGCAGTCCTAAGTGTGTCCACAGACACTTCTTAAGAAAATGGACATTCTCTCTTATAGACTGTCATGATCACATCTAAGAAAGTCAGTCACAGTTCAATAAGATCATCTGATGTCTAGTCCACATTTAAATGGCCCTGGTGGTTATAAGAAGTTTTCCATGGCTATATCTTTTGAATTGGAATCCCACTGGGGGTCACATATTGCATTTGGTCATTGTATCTGTGTAGTCCTTTTTTGGCTAGAGCAGTCCTTTC